ATCAGTAGACTGACGATCATTTTAGTCGACTGACGAGACTAACGATCATTTTAGTCGACTGACGATCTTGTCAATCGACTGGTCAGTCGACCAAAACAGAACAGAAACTAAATGAACATTCCAGGTATTTTCTTCAGTCAACTGACTTCATCAGTCGACTGATAACAGATTATCAGCCTTACATGGTTTTGAAAGTGAGTTTTAATGCTCTGTTAAAAATAGTAAATAAATTCTAAAAAATGTAAAACTTTGAGAAATAATTGTAGATGTAATACCCCAATCCTTGAGAGGGTGATGTGATTAGTATTGATAGATTTGATTGGAATACTCATACCACCAATGTGCATCTTCTTTTCGGGAACCCAACTCTTAGAAACTTCAAAGTTAAGCGTGTTTGGTCTAAAAAAATTCTAGGATGGGTGACCCCCTAGGAAGTTTTCCAGGGAGCGCGTGAGTGAGGACAAAACGTGTTGAAAAGACATGTGATGGTTTGTGAGGCCAGTCCATCAGATCAAACAGCGTACCGACTCCGGGATTCCGGGGCGGGGCGTTACAATAGACATGATAATAAACATACTATAAAGATTGGTTTTTAAAAAGCTCTTCCCATTTGTAAAATATTATCATTTTACAAAATAGTCCAAAACATGTAAATGTAAAATACTTGTTTTTGACATTTGATATAAACCATGTTTTGAAACTTTATAAACTTGATTTTATAGACTTGAAGAAAGATGTAAACTATTGTTATGAAGTCTATAAACAATGAATATAGTATTTTAACAAAATACACATATAATGCACTAAAACATGATTTCATTGAATTAAATAGACTTGATATTGATGAAATCATATATAGGCATATAAACATGAAACAAGTATGAATTTTCCAATTATATTTATCTGTTTCATATTTAAACTTGAAAACCAAAACAAAAACACTAAATATGAAAAAGTAATTTCATATTTATATAAACTTGAAAACCAATAACATGTATGTATATGTATAACTATATATATATATATACATAGAAACCAAAACTTGTGTATATATATAACTATATATATAAAACTAAAATGTGTATGTGTGTATATGATATTGAGCTTAAAGTACTAACACACATAATATAAAAACATAAACTAAATTACCCAAGCTATCTAGATCTTCGATGAAGCTCAACTTGGTACACTTGCGGATGAAGATTGAACTTGGATCTTGACTTGAATTGCAAGGCTTCACTCCACTATTCCGCCAACCTTCATTGGATATGATCGTTGAGGCTCAATTCCATCCATCCTCCAACATGTTTGTCTACAATAAATAGATAAGCACAAACACTATACAAATAACATTAGTCGTAAATTGTTTGTTAAACATCATCAAAATAAGAAGGCCAACATTTTGGAGTCATAAAGCGCTGCTTTGGAGTTCCTGTTTCATTTCTTGGAGTCTAGTTTATTTTCTTAGCCTTTTACCTCTTTCATTATTTCTTTCGCCCATTTTGTTGGTCCAATCATTTGTTTGTTAAATCTAATCTGAAATTTATCTTAGGCTATTCATGGCCCTTTGCTTCCTATCCACGATCTATGTTCTGATGCTGTGTGAATAAAATTTGATCCTCAAAAACTAACCTGGCTCAGAAGACTTTCTTCATCGTTAGGAGGGATGCATGTTGTCTGCTAATACAAAAGAAGGAACTTAAATGATGAGGTTGGGGTCCATAGGAATCAGTCTCTGCTACCTACTTCTACGTATTGGTAGATAGATTTTTAATCTTAAGCTATTATTTCTTGTATTGCACTGCATCTGACGCTGTGTGAAAACCCATTTATTATACACCCTTCGCTGTGTGAAAACCCATTTATTATACACCCTTCGTAACTTACGCTTATTGTTGTCACCATGTTGAAAAACACAACTTTGTTATGTGCGCGTTTTGAGAGCGAACGGCTAATCGGATTATGCGCTAATTAATAAAATTATGAGGAATTATGCATTTTTGAAGTTTTATTATATATTTATTATTTATCATATGTTAAAATATACAAAATTCATGAAAATAGAAGTATACTTAGAAGCTTCGACTAACCTATCTCGTGGGAGAGCTTTGAGGTCATCGCTGGAGAGCTTGTAGGCAGAGCGTTGGAGGTCGTACGATCTTCTGATAAGTTCTCACAAGTGGTGCGAGATCGAGCAAGGTCAATGAAGGCTGGAGATATTTGTCGCAGACATTGTGTTCGAACAAGAGAGATTATAGAGAGAGTAGCGGAACTTGGGGAAAACTTTTAAAGCTGAGGTCTTTATTTACTTTAGTAGTCGGGTTGGGTTTGCGGTAAACGGGGTTAACTCAAAAAGGATTTAAAAGAAAAGTGCCCACATGAAAAAGTTCTGTGGAGCTTAGTGAAAATGTGCCCGATTTATGTGGATGACCGCAAAATGGAGCTCTTTTGTCCTAATCGGAGCGGTTCCACCACTTAGGCATAAGTGACCCCTAAATCTGCATTTTATAAATTGGTTCTCACCACTAATTTTCATGTTAATATGTGCTATGATTTGGTAATTCAAGTCTCCTTGCTTAATTTTTTTTTACTTCTTGTGCTGTGGTACCGCATAAATCAAAGTTGGATCTTCAAAGAGTTACCTGCTTCTGAACACTTCTTTGTTAGGAGTGCTGCGTATTGGCTGATAATAATAATTTTCTGCTACCTTCTGTGTATTGGTTGCGTGGGCATTTACTTTTAAGCTTCTGTTTCTTTAATTGCACTGATAGCTAAGACTTTTTAAAGGTTTATTTATTGTACACTTTTAGTCTTATACTTACTGTTCTTACTGCTATATTTGTATGCTAATATGTACTAGCATCTGGTAATTCAAATCTTTATGCTTCTATATTATAGAGTTATTTGCAGATGTACTTTCTCTACTATGGTCTGGATGCAACTGATCACCCATCAACTTGGATATTTGCATTTGACGTCCTCCAGATATTGAGAGTTGCTCTTCATCCAAATTTTTTCATAAGCACGATCTTATATTTTTATAGGGGGTCAAAATCTTCTATATTTGCAAATTTGTTCCCCAAATCTTGGTATTTGCAAAAATGCCACCCCACTCCTCCCTAAAAGAATCTCTCACGTTGGTTTTCATACCCCTCCAACTAAAGAATATTGGTTTCTGTATACGGCAATTCTGAAATTCTTCAATAATTTCTAATAGTTTGCAATTTTTTCCGTTTAAAAACTAAAACAATCAAGTGGGAGGGGTAGAAAAACTGAATACTAAAATAGTCAAGTGGGAGAGCTAGAAAAACTCTTATGTGAGGGAATTGGGGGGGAATTTTGTAAATGCGAAGATTTGAGGGGTAAATTGCAAATATGAAAGATTTGAAAGGTGTATATATGCAAAAAATCCCTTGTTTGTAATGGTCATCTCTCTCTCTCTCTCTCTCTCTCTCTCTCTCTCTTCTGATTTAAAGGTACTATTTTTTTTCTTGTTTTTTACTTTGGATGGAGAACAACAATGTAATCAGACATTTAGGAGAGTATGTCCAATGTTAGGCAAACTGTCACAGGATAATTTTGACTGCATCAACCCTACTATCATCACAAGAAAATAAGGAACCAGGAAATCCTATCTCTGCCTTAACTGTAGCAAAAAATTTGCTAGCTATAGAAAGAAAATCAATGAGATGCAACTGTTAATATTAATCTACAACCAAATTACATCAAATAACTTATTCCCTTTTCCTTCATCAAGCTGCCTCATTAGTACAAATAGAATCCTCAAATTTCTTTCAGACATGGTTTCTAAACGTTAAAAACCAAAATCATCTTCGAGAGGTTCCCATGAGGGGACACAGGAGGAATGTATGGCCAGTTTAGTGAGCACCAGCATCACCACTGTCGATGAGCTGGATAGGAATTGCTCATATTCCTTCTCATGGGAACAAAGGTGAGGGAGGTAGGCCACATAAAGTAGGGTAAACTAGCCATTGAAAAAAGTTGACTGAGAGCTATTGCTGTTACTAGGCTTGAGGATGTCAAGTGCTAATCAAGATTTTAAATGTCGGATGGCGGGTTCATGTCGGACGGCTAAAATTCATGTCGAATAGCGAAAATCAGGGATTGGGGAACATGAAAAAAAAATAGGATTGTTATATCGGATGGTGTACATATATGGAATATAATGTCAGAAATGAAATGTTAACGTACTTAATACATTCTATTATCTAAACATATAAAAAATTAAGTAACATATGGTTGATGTTGAAGGAAAGAGGTGAGAAAAGAGAAGTCCGATGTTGGCGGTTAAAGAAAGAGATGATCACCTGATATTGATATCGAAGAATCAGCTCGGAGAATAGACCGCTGAGATGTTGAAGGAGAGAGGAGTGACGGAAATGATTTCGGTCCTTTTTTCCCACTGGTTGAATTTTGTCTTTGGAAGTAATATTAAGTCAATGAGGAATTTAAACCCGAACCTGATTAGATAAACATAGCAAAAAAATTAACCAATTTTTTAGACTGAAAAATCGGCCGACATGCCCATCGATATATCGGGCCGTTATATCTGACATCTCCCTCGATATATCCGATATGAACCCTGTAAACACTATACGCTTTGAAAAGCTCCATATCATGTCGGTTGGTCCGTAAATCCGTCATGTCGGCCGACATGTCGGACATGGCGGCCACCATTGAAAACACTGGTGCTAATTGCAAAGTTAACTGATGATGAGTTGCATCAGTTCTGTAGTACATGTGATCCTATATTATATTATCATGTCAATATTGCTTTCATGTAATACATATTATTTAAAACTATAGGTATATAAATAGAACAGTTGATTTTGGTGAACTGAGATATATAGTTATAACATTTGATATTTTTTAAGCTGCTGCATTATGATGGCACTTGGCAGTATTATGCGATCAATCTTTGCATTAGTGGAAGTTAAAATGTATAAACAATAATAATCTTCATCTTATTATCTTTTCAGAAAACCGTCTCTGGTCTTGTGCCTTTTTGCCTTGCTGTTTGAATTGAGTAAAAATGGATCTTCACATAGAATACGCGGATTATTTGAGAAAGCATTAGCAAACGATCAACTCCAAAAGTCGGTACTACTATGGCGCTTCTATCTTGCTTATGAGGCAGACCTAGCACATAATCCCTCTGCAACAAGAAGAATTTTCTTTCGAGCCGTTCATGCCTGCCCATGGTAAGCTCCTGACAATTTTAACATAGATTTTGATTTAACATGTGATTTCATAAGATTCGTGTGTGCATTTTTGTTCTCGTGACTGTCTCTCAGTAAAATCTATTCTTGATGTTTGATAATTAAAGCGATTAACCATTCTAAATGTATATTATTGATTATTTCCTTGTTACTTCCATAGACACCCCTGTAGATTTTGTAGTATGTCTTCGGAGGTGGGATATGAAGAGTTTGTATGTTAAACTTTCCACTATAATTGACTATTTTTCTATACTTCGGATGGTTTTGCCAAATTCTTCATGGACATGTTTTATTGTACAATTAATGTCGAACATTTCTTTAGTATGCGTTTATTAATATAAGGCGATGTTCCTTCATTTATTATGATATTAAATTACTATATGTAAGGTTACCAATAGTGGATAGCGTTGCATAGTAGTGCGGTACCGCTAAGGCTATTTGGGGCTGTAATGGCAAAAAACGTAAAGTCAAATAGCACTCCAATTTAAATGTGTAAATATTCAAAAGTTAATAAAAATTAAAGAAAAATCTAGAAATCCGACAAATGCATATTTGATAATTTATAGAGATCCTAAGCATAAAATAGATGTTTAACAATCACATAATATTAACAAAAGTATTGTACAGAATGAAAGAGCGTATATGTTTATTAAAAAAGCCATTATTTGTGTCATTCTTTCAACTTTTGAGTCTCTAATAGAAAAATTCTAAACAATAAAAAAAACATTGATTAGTAGCAACATATTGTATTAACTATTTGAAACATGACAAAAGTAAAGTCTTCGAGCATAGATAAATTAGCATTATGTACCGCTACTTGTCCCTATTTACCGCTATTTCGGTCTTTCGAGCGCTTTGACTAGTGACAAGCGCTCACGAGCGTTATTGTTCACCGCAATCAATGAAATCATAGCGGTGGGCTCCGCTACCGCTATTTGTGCCGCAATAGCGCCACTATTGGCCGCTACTTACAACAACGATTCTTAGGTATAATATTTCTTGAATCCTTTTGCAGACTGGAGATTGTTATGCATGATATGTATTGCAATTATATGAAACATTAATTAGATAGCCAAAAGTCTCAAACCTCCAATTTATGTGCATGACACGTTGGGATTTATTTCTGCTTTTCATGTTAAATAGTATTTTTAAAAATTAAGTTTGTCTGTCAGTTTATATATGTGGAAAAGAGAACAGTTTTGATAGGTTTTGTAGTTAGATGAAATGAATTCAATTCCTTTATAGGACAATGAACGCCTGAGGACAAGTACTACTGTGTTTTCGTAATCATTTGAATGAATTGAGCGATAATAAACCTAAGGATGAGACCTACTGTATTCTTGTAGTAATTTGAATGTATTGACTGACAATATTTGTTGTAGGTGAACATTACTTTCTAATTAAAAGGTAGGTGTGGGTGTGTGGGTGTGTGTGTGTGTATTATGTATCAAATATTGAGCACAAGAAGATTCTAGTTATGATGTGTAGTTGATTGATGTTTCCTTGCCAGGTATTTCATAGTTTTTCAGGATGTGTGCTCATGTACCAGTGCGCATTTGTCTTTACCTTGTGTACAAGTTCTTGAGGTTAACAATCGCACTTTGGCTATGCTCTACAATTGACATCTCTCTTTCTACTGGAGATTTCTTAAATCCAAATATTACATGTTTGTCATAATTACCATAATGGTCTGTTCAAAAACATCATTTCATTTTAATTTGTGGAATTGAGCCAATTCCACTGTTTGGATGCACAATTATTTAAGGCTCTAGAATTTACACAATTCCACGGGCATCTTAATACTATAATCGGCCTACAATTTTAAATCCGCATAGAGACACTGTCATTTGGAAATTCCGCTCAATCGTATTCCACATCCTGGCGGGATCCCTCCCTCGGCTATGAAGCACGGACACGCATAACATGAAGCCGTGTCGTGTCGTGTCCGTGTCGGACACACGTGTCGAACACACGTATCCTATGTATTTTTTAGGATTTGCCTCGTGTCGGCGTATCGGATGGCCGTGTCGGATCCGTGTCCATGCTACATGACCATCGGTGATGAAAAAACTCATCTTACCCTCAATCTCCCTCTCTCTTTCTCCTCGTATCTCTATCCTAGCTTCTCTGAATACCAAACCCTAGATTTAACCACTCTTGAGATCCTCAATTTCTCTTCAGAATGAGGAACTCATGCACGACTCCTAGCTGATGAGCATGAGAAGTAATTCGAAGATGAGGATCAGGTTAGATTGGACTGAACAGTTCTGAGCTAATATTATACACTTAAGCCCCTTCTGTTTTTGGTTATTGGGTCTTTTGGTTGAGTTTTGAGAAGTGGAGGAGAGGTGATGGGTTGAGAGTGCAAGAGATGCAATAATTCGTGGATTTTTCTTAAAGAGAGAAGGAACTGTGGGGATGTTGGGCTGGGCATGATGATCACGAGCTTGATCCATTTGGGCTGCTTTCTGCTTTTCTTGAGTACAGTAATTTCAACTTTGTTACATTCTCATTATAAATTCTAGCTAATGTTTAACTTTTGTTACTGTATTATGTGTTTCCGCTTGTTGTGATTTAGTTACTCAACTCATTTAGAAATTAAATTCGAATAGTTTCTAGATAAATGGATTGACAAATTCTAGAATTGAAATTTTCATGTTCCCTAGCAATGAATTTAGAGTTGAAAATTTTAGAATTGATATTCGAATAATTCCCAAACAATGGAATTGGATTTGAATTCTAAAATTTCAAATTAATTCCTTGCATCCAAACGCAACTTTAGGCTCCTTCAAATTTCGGGCCACTCCCATGTAATGCAACAATGATATGGGTCATATCTTTGGTTTCTGGGTTAGTGGGTGGAGGGAGGAATCGTATTATGGCATCTGGTAGTAACACTCACTGTTCTAAATGTTAGATATGAGGATCCAATCAGATGAAAAATTCCTTGGAGGGTTTTAGTTAAGGGGAATTGAAAACTAGAATTGAGATAAATTGTGGGATAAAATTTTATGGCGTTAGTCAATTAGAACTAGAACTATGATAAAATTATTAAGTGTTAGTCAATTAGAATTGGATAAAAAGTAGAACTGAGATAATTGTACAAAGTTTTTTTTTCATATTTATATGGAAAAGAGAGTTCTGGTCTCTCTAATTATTTCTATGTTTAGAGTAGAACTAGGTGCTAAAAAGCTGGAACTCTACTATTTGCTTTTTTATTTTGAAAATTTTCATTTTTTTCTCCATCCTCTTCATACCATACCATAATATCATATAGCCTCTCCTCTTACTTTTCTCTTTATATTATATTTTCTTTTGTTATTGAATATTAAATTGTATAATTACTTTAAATTAAAAATCATAAATCCATACTTTATTAGAAAATAAATGAAATTAAGTGATGAGGGGATATTTGGTGTAGCGAAAAACGTTGGTTTTTTAGATTTGTATTGTAGTACTAATTCAATAAATGAAAAAGTTTACAAATTATTATCATGATAATATGTTATAGTCTCCAAGTAGTTATTCAAAATTAATTAATATTGAAGTTAATAAGTCTTAATTAATATAGTAAGTTAGAAAACATATAAATAGTAGTTATAAAATGTCTAAATTATGTACTTCTTGATTATCACAAATTATCCCAAATCCTTTAACCTTATTATCCCATTTAAAAAAAAATTACTCCCATTATCCCACTAAATATCCCACTTTCAAAAAACCTATCCCATATTATTCCAGTTCTAACGAAAATATTTCAATGGATTACCACTCCCTTATTAGGTGGTAATATGAGGGATATTCAATAAATATCAAAATATCATTTAAGATAGCATTTTTAATATCAAAAGGATCGTGATGAAATATAGAAACACAATGTGAGGGTAGACACCAAGAGTTAACATGAAAATGAGAGGAGTATAAAGGCACCTATTTGCGCAGCCCGAGGGGAGGGAGTCTTAACTCAAGAGAAGTCATGAATAGAATTTGAGCTTAATTAGGCTCTTATCAATGTTATTGATAGCGGATAACATGCATAGCAGTGAGGCATTGCTAAGGCTATTTGGGTTACAGTGGCAAAAAAGCAGCAAAAAGTGCAAAGTGAAGTAGCCTTCTAGTTTAAATATGTATAAATATTAAAAAATTCAAGAGATCTTAAGCATGAAATAGACGTGTAACAATCACATAATATTAACAAAGTACTGTACAGAATATTCTAAAATCTCAATACATATTCTTTAAACAATTAATTGCAAAAATACCGAGTGAAAAACTAAGATCTGCTATCCTCAATAATAGAAACATATTTTCTCAAACAATTTGATTTAATTTGTATTGTAAAAATTAAAGAACAAACTGGTTAAAGACGAAATCCTGGTTCATGATTAAATTTGAGAAATTCTCATCTTTTACATGTAATACTCATCTATTTACAATAGTACAAAAGGAGGAAGAGGAGGAAGAGAATCAAGGATTTCCTACTCTCTATTGCAACCAAGCCTAATAGAGAAATTCACAACTTTGAAGAGACGATTGATTTAGCATAGGCAGTAGGGCTTCAATGGAGGGAATCTTGACGGAGGAGCTTTGAAGACGAGAGAAGCGAAGAGGATGATTTGGCAGCAGAGTTGGTGGAGGAAATAGCGGAATAGTTTGAGGTGGTGAAGTTAGGGTTTTCCCCCCTTCTGTTTTGGGTATGAATTGGAGACAAGAGAGATTGAGAAATCAAGGGTGTGGACTATGAAGCACGGACACGCATAACATGAAGCCGTGTCGTGTCGTGTCCGTGTCGGACACACGTGTCGAACACATGTATCCTATGTATTTTTTAGGATTTGCCTCGTGTCGGCGTGTCGGATGGCCGTGTCGGATCCGTGTCCGTGCTACATAGGGTGTGGATATTTTTAAGTTAAAGTCGAGTCGGGTATTAAAAAAACCTTAACTAAAAGCACTTTTACGGGCTAAACAACAATTTTTTGCGTATTTAGCCGCTATTACGAGCAAATAGTGGCGACAATAGCTATTTGAACCCGCATTGAAGCATCAGACTCCGTTAGCGCTATTTTGGCCACAATTAGG